ATTGCAAAGTGGAGGAAGCTTTCCTGTCATTACTTGTGTTTCTGCAGTTTAAAGCAACACGACTCCTCTTGTTGATGATGTTTTCTACCATCTCATGCATGAGCATCTCACAATGACATCAGAAGCGTATGTATCAGCCACACTGTAATCTCACACGCAATAGAAAATTTAAGGGCAAGAAGCTCTTTGTTACACATCGCAGTGTGATGGACCCAGATGCATCTTATTCGATTCTTCAATGGTTACAGAAGCGACATGGGTCCTGCTGCGCTAACAAGATCCCCTGACGGGATTTGTCTCTGCTTTTTATAATCACAACACACGGATTTAAAACACACCACGGCATTCCTCACATCTGAAGACACAACACGTTGGCTTGCCGAATGACTCAGATGACGTCTGCCACAGACACAGGCAGGCCGAAGATGACAAACACACTGAGTATAATTTCTCTGGGTTTAATGAGAAATCCCAAGAGTCAAGTACTGTACTAGGCGCTCTTATTGCGTACTTCAATTCTCATTTAAATGAGCAGAACAACATGGCAATGTAGATTTCAACATGGTAGAGTCAGGAGCTGTGGATGAACTGCACATAACAGCAAAATATTCACAGCAACAATTCAACAAGGATGTTGATTCAGATGCTCTTTAATGTCTTTTCTGTATTGTAAGTATTACGTGGGATAGTGATTTTCCACAGCTTCCTCCCATCAGCAGTCACTACTCACAGATGAACAACTCCCTGACCATGCAGCACATCACAAACATGTGTTGCACCCAAGACAAGAACCTTGGCTGCAACATTGTTAAAGCAGTAACGCATGATCCAACACATCAAACATGAATCTATCGCTAGTCCCCACCTCAAACTGCAGCCAGCTGCAGATCCTCAACCTAATGTGTCTTTCCATCCACATCAGTCTGAGCCACAGTCCAACAGGCGGGCATCCATGTTTCATGGCATCATCTAAATTAACTGTATTTTCTTAACTGTGAAAGGAAACAGCTCAGAAACGTTTCAACCTTGCGATTAACGGCAGTATTTTACACGTACAAGTAGGAGAAAGCAGATGTTTACCTCGCAGAAGGAGACACTTAACCACAGCAACTGATCCACTGAGCAGAGGATTAGGTGCCATTGCAGATCCTGGTCCCACAGAGACCAGCAGCCCAGGCATCCTTCCACCCCATCCCTGCACGCCGCTCCTCGCCTCTGCCGTCTGCTGTCAGCCAATCCTCGCCGGCTCACCCCCCCTGATCGGGAAGGAGCTTCTCTTTATAAATCCTCGCTGAGAAATAAGAGAAGGTATCATCTCTCTCTCTCTCTCTCTCTTTCTCCCCACTCCCCCTCCACCTCCCTCCACCCCGAGGAAGCTCTGTTACCATGGATACGCACGAGGCTGGAGCCTGATTGGTGGAGTTTGTTGTGATGCAGCAAGTCGGTGGTGCAGCCCACCAGATTGATTGCCTTTCTCAGTGCACATCGTTCTCCAACGCTGAGCCAGAATTGGTTCTCCCTGCTTGTTCAGTGATTGCACCTCATCAAGTAAGCTTTGGACAGACAATACAGCAATTTGTGTTCAATAAGAGACCTTATAACTCAGTTTAAAGTTTACAGTGTTAAGCCCTTGTGTTTTTAATTTCTAATTATAGTAAATCTCATATTCTTCCTCTCACATGCACACGTGGAAAATTGTTAAAGACTTCCACTGATATAAATCTCTTTTTGATTGAATTGAACGAAGACTAATTACAAAACTTAAAAAGTTTACATATATTATTGTATTCAAAGAGTTGTTCATTTATTATTATTATTATTATTAATTTATGGCATATTCAATAATAAGCTTTCTTTCTGTTTGTACACCACGTCTTATTTTTAACCAAGCACCTAGAGAAAGCAATGATAAAAAAGATTATAAAAACCTTTTTTAGCTGATTAACCTATAGACATAACATAATAATGTATATAAATGCAAGAAAACAGCATCACGGTGATGTTTTCAAATGGCTAACAGATGAAACCCATGCATTTTTATTTTACAAAGATTCATTTGCAAATTTTTTTGTCACTTAGTCATTTGGTCTGCCAAATTCCAGATAACAAGTTCAAGGTGCTGCTTTCAAATGCCCTTTTTTGCCCGATCAACAGTCCAAATATATTAATTTTACAGTGATTTTACAAAGACATTTTGTCATTTTAACTTCGCCAAGTGTTGCAGCTCGAACGTCTAGAGGAAGCAACAATCAAGAATTGTTATAAACACCTAATTTAACAGTTTACAGTGTCCAACAATTAGGTGTAAAATCTGGAAAGCTCCTACAGTGAAAGCATAAAGCACCCAGCTCTCTTGACACATCCACACAAAGCCTCAACACCTTCATTCAAATGTGATGTATTTTTAAATGTAATACTAGCGATGTACTGTTTGAAAGTGACTTGTAGTAAAGCAGAACATGTGCATTAATCACTCTGTGCTCTCAGCAGCAGATCACCTGCTCTGATGATTACGCATCTATTTGCAGGGTGTCGTGACCATCCTGCCTTTTCCTGCTGTGTATTTTTCTCACCTGCTTTGTCCACAGAATTTGAATGAGCCGGCTGAGTGGCGTGAACACATGTCTCTCCTTTTGACTAACAAATCAGTGAGCACATGCTACTATTCCGGGCTGCCAATCTGTACCGCCACTCCAGCACCAACAATCTACCTTTACTGTAGGTACTGCAGTAGCTTTTCAAGACTGGAAACAGGTAGTCTGGCTCTGTTCAACGGCAACAAAATCCACCTAACAGCACCTCTAAAGCTCATAAACATTTTAAATTGTTTAGTTTTTTATGTACAAAAAAACAAAACAAATTATAAAAATGACATTTCTCTCTTTTACACGTGGTTATGTGTCTTGGTTGTGACTCGTAACTTCCGGTCTCTGCTGGTTGTCTGGCTTTTCAAGTGGCATAGTTATGAGGAAAAAAAAGTGTTTTGTTGTAAATAATATAAGACAAGAGTCGGTGCAAACATAAGAGACGAGGTGGAGCTTTCACACAGTTAGGCCTATATGAGGAACTGCAACAAATGTGTCACATCTTAGTCATTATAAATATCTGCAGTACTTCTGCAATTTTGTATGCTTTTGGTCTTTAACCAAAAGAAAGTGTCTCATTATGCTGAGCGGTGAAACTAACTTAGATGTGACAGCTGTTAACATCTGCATACAATTTAAAGTTTTTTTCTCCTACATTTGCATTACTTTAATCTGAAATGACCCTCCTCACCGGGCCCTGTAAATGTTGTACAATGACCCTTATACGGTGTCGTACATAAGTTAAACATATTAATTGATGAGCTTTAGATGTTGCTAGGTAACAAAATGCTAGGTAACAAAATCTGCTATGCAGATTTTGTTACCTTTTCTGGAGACCTGTTGTTTCTGGGTTAAAGATATTTGTTTTTCCAAGAATCAGACGCTCAGGTGACTGAGAACGTACTGTTAATGCATTGAATGAGAACTGATGTGCACTGAGTTAGCGCTGCAAGCGGTGGATAAACTCAATGACTCACATGTCTATGCCTTATAAACGTCTCTTTAATTACATCCAGCCAACACGTCTCAGTGGGTTTGAGGTTAAAAATATCCCACCTGCAGCCAGACGTGTTCTATAGGGGGTTGAGTAGCTGCTGCTTCATCTTTAGGGACATTTCAAACAGCTTTTAGCTCAGAGAATAAACCTGAGGAGTACCAGGTACTACAGCAGATCACAAAAGGCAAAATTACCGCGGTCCATCGCTCTCAGCCTCTCGTTTTATCTACGAGCTGCATGGATGTACATCCTCAGAATGAAATGACTTGTTGATGGATACTCCACCCAGCACCCAGCACACACACACTCTTTATCTGAGCATCTGCAGAGCCCCACGCTAACAGAATCAACCCCTGCTCTCTAAACGACCTGCTATGCATGCAGCTCCACAACGTGAACATCTGCCACTATTACGGCTGTTAATTTGTGATCTTGTCAAGCACATCTTTCCTCACCAGACACTCCTGTTACTCATCCTGCAGGCATCAAACAGGGGTTGCAGGCTACAGTTAGGCGGCTCCTGTGATGTTACTGACGGTATTTTGTTGGCACGTCACACTGGCTGCTGCAGCATGTGTTTGGTTAAAACCCAGATGTCCGTGTTTCACTTAAGCTGAGTTTTAATTTCATTATTACACCGGGTGGTGCAGTAATGTAACAAAGCAATATCTATCTCTATATTTAGATAACATTAGCAACCATAAGTTACTGGTCATACCAGACCAAAAATGGTTTTATTGGTGAAACCCATTGTTAAATAAATCAGTTTTCAATTTTCAATTTATGAGATAAATAATATTGTTCCTTCTCTCAAGTTACATTGTTGAATTTTCAGTACAAATTTATGGTCCTTTTACTTTACTTGAGTACTTTAAAATCATCCAATAATCACATAGTCCCCTCATGTGTGTGTGTGTTTGTTGATGTTTTTATGTTGATTGTTCTGTGTCATTTGAATATTTAATTTAAAATTATGACTATGTTTTAATTTGAATCCTTATCTGTTCATTTTCATGTTTTTGTGTCAGTGTAAAAATGTTATATTCTGAAATAAATCCGTCATCTCACGACCCCTCATATTTATGTGGTGACCCTTGGGAGGGGCCTGACCCCTAACTGTATATGAAGAAGTTAAACACAGCTGACTGTATATAAAGTGGTTAAAACAAACCTCTTTATGATATGGACATACACAGTACGTCTATGTGGCTATACAAACAGATTGTACAAATGCCATCTGCTCAAATAAAAAACATTTAAAAGAGAATATAAAGTGGTCAAACCTGGCTGACTGTATATTATATAACTGCTGCATTGGTACTTTTATTTAACTAAAATGATTTGACTACTCCTCCCGGCACTACTCAGGTGAAAATGTTTGGATTTCGAAACTACAGATATGAGATGTTGACACTGACCTGCAGTCCATCCCCAGCGAATGTTTCCAACCTTCTTCCTGTGAATGAGAGAAGCAGCTGAGATGAGACTGAATGCTAATGTTTTAATGTTTAAACTAAAGGCATGCAGGGTAACACACAGCTCTATGGAAGTGTGGTGTCAAAAATATCCCACTCGAGTTGCATAAATGACCAAATATGGAGCAGAAGTCATGTTTCAAAACTATTTCCTTCCTCATTCCAGGTTCAGAAATGCTAAACATGCAACAGAGGGTGATAAAATAGAGTAAAATACATATTAGGAAAACTATACCTTATTCAAAAAGGTGATTTCTGTGTATGAATTTATCTGGAAGTCTCTTTCCCTTGATGGATTGCAAACATGTTCACCCACAGCTAATGTGATCATCTGCCACTGTCAAAACATCACAACATGAAAAGAGGCGTGGGCAGCAAATGAGAGCGGCCCTGACGTGATGGCTGGGTGATGAGAGAGGACAGGCTATTTTTAGCTCAGGGCGGCAGTGGAGGTGAAGGGGAAACGGGGGGTTTAGTTGTGATGCTTCTCAAATTGCTCTGCTTTACTGCATTTTGGTAAATGCCTGTGATGCATCACTGAGAAAGGAGGGGAACTCGTTCAGCGGGGTCTTCGGTTGCTTTGTGCATCTATATCGGTGTTCGTGGCACCTTTCTAGATGCACAAACGACTATTTGATGAACTAGAAAACTGAAATGCAGATTTTTAACGGATTCACTGATTTATTCGCCACCAGCAAAATAATATAATATTTTAAATGTCAATCTTTGATTTACAAAGTTCCTGGACTGAGGGCAGCAGCTGTAAATACAACAGTATATATTATCACCGTGCATATACAGTATAATCTTTGTTTAATCAGATAAATAGTCTCATTGAGATCTAGATCTCTTTTGAGACCTGAATACAGCAGATAGGAATAAACACAAACATAGTCATTCATAACAAACAGCATCGGAGAAAGTCAATAAATAGATTTGAAGTTAATAGTTTAAAATCAGCCAGTGGGATGAGACATTCAAGTTTCACATAAACCCTCTGTAATTTATTTCATGTATAAGGTGCAAAGTGTAGGAAGGCAGTCTCCCCAGGTTCAGTATTTACCAGAGGGGCCTGAGATCAGATCTGGTGAGCTGTGGTTTTACATTCTGAAAGAGGAAGAGATTTACTGAGGCAGCCTCTCCGGGAGACGTTTACAAAGAGAAATGATAGAATGGAGTTCCCTTATTGTTGCTAGTAAGGACCGGCCTACTTTTTCATGTAGTACACAGTAATGACTTCGATATTCATCTTCTGTTGTGAAACACAAAGCACAATGATGAAACTAGATCAGCGAGCAGCAAGAGAATAAAACATATCCCCATAGCCAAGCCACGCTGACATGATGGTCCAATCATTTTCATGTGATCCTTTAAAATCTGGCTTTATTCTGATCTATAAAAAAACTTTTTCTGTACCAGAGTAAAAATGAGACGGCTGTTAAACCAAATTCCAAGTTATTTATAAGATTTGGATAATTTCAATTTCAGTACCATTAAATGTGAGGATAAAAGTCAGCTGTGAACAGGCATTATGGATTATTGAGAATAAAACACTTTAGGGCTGACTCCTAATAGTAGAAGAGTCAATGCTTCGATGGGCGGAGCCTGATTCGACTGTTAATCTCACAGTCGAAGCTTTGCAGCGAAACGAGGATCATGCTATTTTGGAGATACTGGGGCGCTGAATGTCTGATTTTACATAGAACTACCAGTTTTCTCTCAACGAGACAGCCTATTACAATACACATTTAAATGTTTAATGCTGTAAATGAACATGTAAAAAGGAAAAAAAAAACTTCCAATAAATGTTTTTAAAGTGCGTGAATAAATCCAAAATTGTAACCCTAACCCTGGATCGTCAGTGCGCATGTGTAGGCGTAGTGTGTAGTGGCAGGAGAGATGGAGCCCCAACTGGTGTTGTGCCCAGTTGTTTGCACCTCACGGGACTTTCGGATAATATATCACCGTTGATGAACCACACAAAGAATATTTTATGGTACAGCCGCTACTTGAAATAAACCTGCAAGGAACCGCAACGTGCATGCAGTTGTCGGCAGCACGGCGAAAACTCTTCACAAGACCGCTGAATTCGACTATCAGTTGACTATAGGCAGGACTTGACGATTCTGATTCGAATCCTTAGTCTGGAACAGCCCTAAAACACAATTTGTTTTGTCGGCATTCAGTAGAAGCTTGAGATTCTGCAGGAATGTCTGGAGAACGTTAAAACTTGTTGTTGAAGAGCAGCCACATACGTAAAAGACTGTGTCATCCACATATAAATGTTTGATTCTGTTTATGAAAATTGAAAAATTACTGCTGCTGCTAAAAACAAAAGCAGTTGAGAGTTCTGTTGATGAAGAATCCTGAAATTAATTTTTTTTACGGGGAAAGGCCGTAACTCAATTCAATTCAAACTTTATTTATCCCCTTAGGGCAATTCAGTTTTTGTCTGCCAGTCGCATCAAATAAGACAAAAACAACACCTACAATCAATCAAGCATCCAGAAACCCTGTCAGTGACATCTTACAAGCATTTGGACACCAGAGCAAAGCAGCGAATACACAGGTCGCAATACATGGACCAAGCAGGGACCATAAATCAAGTAAATCAAGTAATTCATAAATAAATAAATAGATAATAAATACTAATTAAATAAATAAATACCAGGGGGCCTTCTATAAACGTTTATGGTGTATGCTGGCTGTGTCCATGATGCCAGTTAGCACAGCATTTGTTCAAGTTCCGGTGGGATAAGCTCATGGCGCTCTGGATAGAGGCATAAATGCACATGCGTAGTAAAAGTATAACCTGTTGGAAAAAATGCTTTTTAAACCTTATTTTGGGGCAAAGTCATCAAACGTTTTCAGCAGTTGTTTCATCAGATTTTACTGCTGATTTTATACATTAAATTTTTATGTCCAATGAAAGTGCAGTTATGGCTCTCTCCCCATTGGTTCAGATAGGGGCCTGATCTTGTTAGTCCAAAATAACAGAGGTGGTACCAAGATGGCTGCAGAGTGGCAGGACTTGCCTGTATATAAGGACTTTGCTCTAAAGCTCTTACTACGAGTGACCCTTTTCACATTAGATGTAGTAATTTGCATATTAATATATATTTATATTACTATATATATTAATATAAATGCATATTAATTTAGTCTTTTTCCATCTCCAAGGGTGTTATCAACGGACCAAAATTGCACTGGATGCAATTAGACAGACCAACAACCAATCGGAGCAACAAAACGTGTGACATATGCAAGTTGGCCCGGTGTTTGGTCGTTTTCATGGAGGAAAAATACTTGTCACAAACATGGACACAAAATTACAGCTAGACAATAAACTATAATGTGTTTCATTTTAGAAAAATGTGTGCCTAGTTTCACAGTTTGGTCTGGATTTCAGCGGCCTGGTGCGCTGCGCTGATGAACAGATCAACTCTGTATGGAAATCTGTCTTAATGCGACCCAATTGTTTATTAATCTGACTGTTAAAATTTCTTTCACTAAACATAAATAAGGTTGTGCCCGTAAAGATGAAACAATTTCTTATGGAGCCTTTAAGATTTTATGGGAAAAAGAATACAGTTGTACAGCAACAGATTAAATGTCCAGTTCCGGCTGTAGCTTCATATTTAATCCTGTATTAGAGTGGTATCGATCTTCTCATCTCAGCGTAGGCGTATTTCCCCAAACTGTTCCTCAAAATAACCACCATGAGTTGTTTGGAGAGAAGAAAGCAGCTACTGGCTCCTCATCAAACCACAAACAGACTCCCTTGAACAACTCACATTTCTCTTATCAACACGTCACATCACTTCCATTTTCAACCTTATCTTCACGTTGTCATGAACGGAGGCTCACGGAGGAACAGCAGGGAAGTGGTGGAGGGAAAGAAATGAGACGGCTGGAAGACAAGGAAATGCAGAGATGATGGCTCGTGGTTTAAAACAGACAGCTACAGGAACAAGAGGGTGAACAGGTGGATAGAAGAGTGGGGGAGTTTCTGTTAATGAGATGTGGACAAGGAAAGACAGCAGAGGAAGACACTGTTGTTATTCACTTCTCGGGCCAATACCATTACTGTTTGGCCCGGCTCCAGCGCCTCCGAGGCTGGCTAACATTCAGCAGTGTAACATGGACTGCAGTGACAACCGGCCCCCTTTCACCCACTTTCATTTGTCACGGAGATTAAGCAACCATTAACAACTACAGATCCATCTCTTGATTACTAACATTCATAACGTCCGACTATAAATGAGAAGAGTTACTGCCGAGCGGAGATGTATCACCCACGCCACCACTGTGGTCCAGACTGAAGTATCACAACAACAACTGGATGGATTACTATGACATTTTACAGAAACCCATGTCCCCCAGAAGATGAATCCTTATGACTCCTCTCTAGCACCATCAGCGCGGTTGATAATTGTGGCTTTTAGTAAAATTTCTAAACATCTACTGGATGAGCTGCCCTGTCAGGATGACCTATACTAACTTTGGTGATCTCTAAACTTTTCATGTAGCACCCTCATCAGATCAACTTTGACCACTGGACTAGTGTCACAAGTGTTCACACACAAATGAACACAACCCGCCTTTACTACAGCTGTATGAACCCAAAATAAACATTTTCCTCTGATTTAGTTGCCATAAACAGATCAAACTGATGCCAAAATTACCACATTACAGATTTATTAAACTATACTGTCAGGTCTGTCAACAAGATGACAAGCAAACAACTTTTCAAATACTTGTTTTCCTTGTTTTTCTGAGCTGGAATCAACGTAACAGATACATATTAAACATATAAGTCTGTCCCTTCCACTTTCACCCCGTGGCACCTTTTACCCTGATCTACACACACGATGTTTGTTAATTTAAAATATAATTTTGCCCGTCAAGAAAGTCACTCTTTGTCGTGAAACAGTGAGATTAAGAAACAACAGTGAGAAACAAGTAAAATTTAGTTTTGTGT